GGCACCATGAAGAGAGCCTAGGAGAGGCCATTGGTGAAGGTGCAGCCCAGGTGCAGCAAGGGACCCGGCAGTTTTGGAGATGCCACTACCTCGGGCTGACCACCAAGAACTGCAGCGGTGGGGACTGGAGCCAGCCTGCCAGAGCCCAGAGACGAAGCTGTGTGTGCTGAGAGAGCAGAGCTGGAGGAGCGACCCGCGCCCTCTGGAGGAGCCGGAGCTCATGTGTGGGTCCAGGCATTGGGCACTGAGTTATTTATACTGCTAGAGATCAGGGTTCAGAGTGTGACTATGCCCTGGTTCTTCCCTCTTGACGACAGTATTTGATTTAATTTTGATTTTTATAGGAGCCAACAGCTGAAAGACCTAAAAAGAGATTTTGGAATTTTTGTTTTTTAGAGAGATTGGATATTTTAAAGAGATTGAAATTTTAACATGTTTTAATTCGTAAGGACTGTGAGACTTTTGTTTATATTTTAATGTGAGACCTTAGGGATGAATATGCATGGAAGGGTTGTGTTTGTGTGTCAAGTTGACAAGGGATCATTTTCTCAATTTGACACATGCTAGAGCCATCAGAGAGGAAAGAGCCTCAGTTGAGGAACTGCCTCCATGAGAGCCAGCTGTAAGACATTTTCTCAGTTAGTGGTCAATGGAGGAGGGCCCAGCCCATTGTGGGTGGTGTCATCCCTGGGCTGGTGGCCCAGGACTCTGTAAGAAAGCAGATTCAACTTTCCGCCAAAATGACAGGGAAATCGAGGAAGGGAGCTCCTGCCCCTCCCAAAGCCGAAGCCAACACAAAGGCCTTGGAATCTAAGAAGACAGTGCTGAAAGGCCTCCAGAGCCATGGAAAGATGATCTGCATGTCACCCACCTTCCAGAGGCCCAAGGCTCCGTGGCTCCGGAGGCAGCCCAAATACCCTTCGAGAGAGTGCACCCAAGGAGGAACAAGCTTGACCACTGCGCCATCATCAAATTCGCCTGATCAGCGCAGTCAGCCCTGAAGAAGATGGAGGGCAACAGCACACTTGTGTTAATTGTGATGTCAAGGCCAACAAGCACCAGATCAAACTGGCCGTGAAGAAACTACAGCATTGATGTGGCCAAAGTTAATAACCTGATAAGGCCTGAAGGCGTATGTTCGGTTGGCTCCTGATTATGACACTCTGGATGTTGCCAACAAGATCAGGATCATCTAAACTGAGTCCAGCTGGTTAATTCTAAATATATGTTTTTTCCACCATTAAAAAAAATGCTAGCTGGGTAAACTATGGGAAGCAAGCTAGTAAGCAGCACCCCTCCATGGCCTCTGTATCAGCTCCTGGCTCCAGGCTCCAGCCCTACTTGAGTTCCTGTCCTGATTCCCTCCAATGACGCTAAGGGTCTGGAAGTGCAGGTGAATAAGCCCTTTCCTTCCCAGCTTGCTTTTTGGTCATGATGTTTTGTCCCAGCAAATAGAAAGCATCACTAAGACAAGTAGTAACGGATGCTGGCATTTTATCTTGGCATTTTCTGATTTTGGCAGATGATTAAGGAACAGACATTCTCACTTTATTCTTATGCTTAAACACGTTCATACGAGTCAGACAAATTCTGACATTCTATTACAAAATGCTTATTCTGTGTCTTTAAATAAAAGTATATTTTTCTACATAGCAAACAATATTATTAAAAGTAACATTTCTTTCCCCTTCCTTCCTTCCTTCCTTCCTTCCTTCCTTCCTTCCTTCCTTCTTTCCTTCCTTCCTTCTTTCCTTTCTTCCTTCCTTCCCTCCTTCCTTCCTTCCTTCCTTCTTTCCTTCCTTCCTTCCTTCTTTCCTTTCTTCCTTCCTTCCTTCCTTCTTTCCTTCCTTCCTTCCTTCCTTCCTTCCTTCCTTCCTTCCTTCCCTCCCTCTCTCCCTCCTTCCTTCCCTCCTTCCTTCCTTCCTTCCTTCCTTCCTTCCTTCCTTCCTTCCTTTTCCTTCCTTCCTTCCTTCCTTCCTTCCTTCCTTCCTTCCTTCCTTCCTTCCTTCCAATATTATTTTGATATAGCCAAGAATGACTTTGAATTCTTGATCCTCTTGATCCTCCTGCCTCTACCTTCTGGGTGCTAGGATTACAGGAGTGTGTCACCCCACACACAATTATTTATTTATTGGTGGTTGGGTTATCTGTGCTTATTTATTTGTGTACACATGCCATAGAACATGCATGGAGGTCAGAGAACAACTTGAGGGAATTTGCTCTCTTCTTTCGCCATGCAGGTTCCAGGGATTGAACTCAGGCTGTCAGAGTTAGCAGCAGTGCCTTTACTCACTGAGCCACCTCACTGGCCCAACGTTTGTTTCTTAATAGTCCCTCGTGTCTGGTCCTTCTTGCCCCCGCTCCCTTCATGACCATCTTTCATGGTGGGTCCATCTGAATCAAGATGCTGTTTCAGCAGTTCCTCTATCCAGAAGCATCCAAGTCCCACTTGCCCCGTGACCATTTTACCATTCCCAGTACATCTTCCAGTGATGAACAACGGGTCGTTCTGTAAGTAACACTGGGCAACAGTCAACAGTGGAAACCCGCTTCTGGTATTCTTCAGTACAGGGCACTGTTTAGGAAGTGTCTGCATTTGTGGCCCAAGATCATGAGTGGGGTTTTCTGTGCAGAACAGAACTGGAGAGAGGGTGGACTAGCCTGTTTGTCTCAATCTGTCCTCAGTGAAACACGAGGTCTGCGGGTCTGTGCACCTGCCCCTCAGGTAATCTCTTCTTCTCATTCAACGTCACAGACATGCTCATGTCTGTGATCTGGTGTGAGGCATCTGAGGGCCTCCGGGCTCTTAAATAATAGTTATGGCAGACTTACTTAGCCTCACACACCTTCTAGAGTTTTCTTTTTTCCTCCCGAGACATGTTACCCCTGTGTAGTCAAGGCTGGCCTAGAACTCTCAGCCTTCTTTGGCTCCTCTCTAGGCAGGTGTCACACTGCGCCACTGTGGCTGGCTTCTCCCGTTTGTGTTAACTGTGGGAACTTCAAAGTTTCTCACTGTCGCCTGCTGAATCCCATTCCCTCCATTTTGTACCTTTAGGCTAATAGTGGTTAGAAAATGCACACTCCTCTTTATTAAACTGTTCGTCAAAAGACGAGATCCAGTGGCCAAAAATCAGCCCCTGGCATCAAAGGAGCAGACGACATGAACCTCTGCTAAGAGCCGAGTGCTTCTGTTTCCCTGACAGTGAATTGCCAGCGCGACAGGGGGATGGGTGAGAGGAGGAGGGCAGGAGGCTGCTGTGAGAACTACGTTGTTTGTGGAGACTTGTTTGACTTCAAGAGCTGGAACACAGCCTCTTGGTGCCTTCTGTCCCCCTATATGCATCAGAGCCTGAATGCTGTAGTTCTTGAGTGTCCATCTGTATTGATGCCCTTGAGCATCTTTGCCCCTTTCCCTGCCTCCATCCTCCATCCCTTTCTCGCCCTGCTTTCTTTCTTCTTTTATTTTTAAATATTTATTTATTTATTTATTTATTTATTTATTTATTTATTTATTTATTTATTT